CTGAACCAAGTCGTCAGGGTTCTGCCTCAACAAGAAGCAAAAACTGATAAGCTAAAACCAGATGAAGGTTATGATGCTCAGGTTCAAACAAATTTTCATCACCTTCTTTGATGAATCGAGATAGCAAGCCAAAGTAGCCATCTTAGTTGAGAAAACAAAGTTGTCATTGCACAGTGAGAGGTGTTTCAACCAAAGGGCCGATGTCTTCGTGAGTATGACCCACAGGTAAATGTTCATGAGATATAGTTCTCACGAACCCTGCCGTTGACATCATGGAACACCAGCTGCCCATGATCGAGTTCTTCACTTCCTGGAAAAGACAGCTTGCTTTCAAGGTCACTACCCTCCACCATCGACTAAACAAGGCATGTTTAATAAATAAGAAGAACTTGTTGAATTCAAGACTGAGATCTTTGGGCGTGTTGTCTGCAAATATTTTGACAACTCCAGGAACTGGTTTGTTCCACTTCTGATAGACATTGTGGGTGTGTTGCAATGACCGGTTGAGTGTTTCTATGGTCCAGTTTGAACCGGTACTCTGGCCCTCATCAGCGATGTAGGTGAAAATCCCCACGCCGTGTACAATTGATGTCGTAACTTCACAGTTTGGCCGCTTCGTGGTTTCTACATCCTTGGGCGCCCGACCCCTGTGATACCGGGGTAAACTGTATTTACTCCGGTCCATGCTATCGGTGATGATGCATACAAGGTCTCCAGATGTTTTGGCCCTCGACCGACATGTCCAGTAACATTCTCGGTCTGCATATTGCCCAGCAAGGTGCCGTAACAGTTTGTCACACGCTTCCAAATGTTGTTGAATTCCTTTCGCGTGCTGAATCTGTGCTCGAAGCTTTGCACATACACTGCACTTGCTATGTGCAGAGGGTGGGCTAAAGCGCAGTTTTTTCGACCAGCCTGAAGTGGAAAGAGCTCTATAAAACGTGCTGGCTGATGCACACTTCTCACCTGCAGTACTTTGGTGAGCGCAATACAATGTGTACAGTTCATGATATGACCCGTGCGGGAGCCATCGTCTCGGAAGACTTCCTGGCCCAGACCATACGACTCCTCGAGCCAAATCGCTTTCTAGAGCACTGTCCACCAACGCCTTGAGAAGTTCTTCCCTGGCACCCTCTGTGTCCAGTTTTTTCACCCCCTCGATGTTAAGCCTCATGGATCAACCAGATGTAAAGCTTGGAAGAAGCAACATGAACAAACACAAAATATATAGACCAAGTACTCATGGGGCAATGTCTCACCAATGCTCCAGTAAACCTTCTCCAGGAAGGTCAGGACAGACGCAGAAGCATTTGCTTCACAACGGCCCTTAGAGCCTTAGCTACTGGATGTCTTTGGAAAGTCCTACTCCCCAAGATCCCACATATTGAAAAGGAACAACAATGAGAGCAAATCAAGCAACTCCATGCTCTCGCATCGATACCTTTGAAAGTATGTCTGGTACGAACCAAACGGGGAGCACTGATGCCCAAGATCTTGATAAATGCTTGGCGGCAAACTGACCGGCCTGACATATCATTCTAACAAAGGTGTGAACGCAGGCAGGGTGATTCAAAAACGGGCTTTAGAAAACACACTAAACAGAAAACAAACGCAACAGGAGGCCTTCCAATTTCCATGAGATCTTGTGCCGCGCTTGGCCAGACAAACTCTCATCTTCACTGTCAGACATTTGTGGGTGAGTTGTTTGCTGCATTGCCCACAGCAGGTTGTCTTGAGACACCTTTGGCAATGCCCAAAACAATGTGACCATGTTCAAAACGAGTCTGAAACAAAGTCCCTTTTTGCATCCTGCTTTGCAGCATGGCTCTTTGAGAGCTGCCTTTATCCGGCTTGGGTCTTTCCCACTTTGCGCATACACTGAATCCTCTTTAGATCTCGTTCCGTCCTCCATCACTGCCAGCTGGTTGAGAAACAGCCCTGCAGGCTGGCACTTCGTGTCACCAATGGCGTTGGAGCCTGAGTCTGCCGAGTCTGAAGAAGATGAAGACCTTCTCCTTTTCTTTGCAGAGGGGTCTGAGTCAGAATAATATGAAGATCCGGAATCGGAATCAGGAGCTTCGAAGCGTTTCATAGGGTTTTAAAACATCAAGAAGCCACATCGATTTGAGAAAAGAGCTGCATTGTAATATAGAGTTGGACATGTTGCAGGGCACACTAGCACAAAGACATGGATATCAAAAGCACGTCTTGCAGTCTTTGCAAGCTCCCTTTTTAAGTTCACTGTTTGGCTTTGTCCATTGCTGCCTTGTAAAATGCACTCACATCGAGCACACTGAAGGCCACTGCAAAAGCAGCTGCCACGCTCCTGATGTTCATCCCCTCAGTTTTTTGCACGGGCTCTCAGAGAGAGACAAAAACAAACATCCAAGTCTGACACGTTCCCTCCAAGCGAATGAAGTTCCTTGGTCAAACTGACTAATACCAAGTCCAGGAAGGGTTCAGGAAAACAGTGTGCAAACCAAGTTTCCTTTTCTTTCATTTGGCGTAGCTTCAACCGATGAACGGGGTATCCTTGAAAAAGCATTTTCTCCAGGCCTGCGAGGAGAACATGAGTTTGCCACCAGCTAGAAACTAAATCTGGTGGCCGGACCTGTGAGCAAGCGCTTCTTCTCCATATTCCACAGTTGGGCGCCAGGAGTGATACATGGAACATTTTGGCCTTTGACTGTCATTCGATTAATTTGTTGAGAAACACTCAATGTCCCTTTGTGGCCACCCGACTCGTAGACCTCCACAGCCTCAAAAGTCAGTGTAAAACAGTTAATCAGCCTCATTCAAAACAGACTTGTCGCAAAGAAACATGAACTGCCCTTTGTGAACTGAAAGTTCTAGAGGCAGCATCGACTTTGTGAAGGTTCTTGGGATCCACCTCACAGTACATCTATGAGATGCTATAAGTAAAAAACGGAAAACTTGCAAGGGCCTCTAGTTCTTGCATTTTTTGCCAATGCTTTTGAAGCCATCGAGGACGTTTGGCTTTGGGCCTCGCCAAGCCAAGAAGTACTGGCAAGTCTAGTCAGGTCTGACCCCAAAAAACTGAGTCAGGTGCTCTTCAGTGAGATCAAACTCACTGTGTTTCCTTGTCTTTTGAACTGTTTGTTCCCGCTGTCTCTGAACATCTTGCACATATGGGCACGATGCTGGCAGCATCAGGTCTGACCTTGCAAAACAAAGTTGGGGTTCCTCAAAAAAATACTCACAGTCTTTTTGTTTCCTAGGCAGCTGGCACAGAAATGGTTGGTTCCTTTCTTTTCAGCTTTTGGTAAGCTGATGAGCAATGCTTCTCCAGGTCCAAATGATTTTTAATCTTCTTGTCGCATACATCCCTGGCAAGTTGACAAACAACTTCTTTAGATTGAGTGTAAGGGTCAGCGCACCTCCGTATCAAAATGAAATAGATGCGGCGGCGGCAAACGGGGTCTCCTAGATGTTGAGCATCAACTTTGATAGCGCAAATGAGGTACTTTTTCTTCAGAGGGTCCATCTCTTTCCAGACCTCTGAACACGTCCAAGCATTCCAACATACCTGTTGCAAACACCTACATTTGAGGGCCTCGCCTGTTTCTTTACCCTCAAAATTCCATACACGTTCTCCAGCAATGCAACCAACGGCTCTGTCCTACTGTTTGTGCAAACAAAATCATGCACATTGGGCTCAATCAACAAAGGCTCCTCCTGATTGCTTCCAAGCAATCCCAAAAACATTGCGCTTCAGGCTCATCCAAGAGCAAGCTATTCTGGCGGAGGCCAGAAAACCTGGGGCGAAAGTCGAAAGTGGGGGTCAGGGTGGTTTAGGCCATGAATTTGTTCAGTTCTGTTTTTGAAAACAAGCTTTTTGAAACAAAGGTGCGGTGTGCAGGGGAACCCCCCTGCATACAACATGGCATCAGACAGTCCATCATATGAGCGGCCAGACATCTCTGTAAATAGCCTTGGAATCAAGGAGCGCCTACAAACAGTGAGGTGAAATACTATATCGGAGTGAAAAAGGATTTGGTGGTCCTCTTGATCTGGAACTTATCAACCAAGAAGCTTTCTTGGATTGCAATTTGCCAGGATAAACTTCAGTGGCGCTAAGCCTTTGTCAGTGCTAGCTGTGAGGGTGACCTTGGAAGCTCTTGCAACAAAATAAGCAAGTGTTCAATTCCAGGGTCCATCCATTGACTGAAGAAAACTCAGCCCCAGCCTTGTTCCCAACAAGTTCTTGAAGCCCCCACAAAGCACCTTCGGCCCCTGAACCTTGCAATGGAAGCACTCTGCATTGTGCTGGGTTCTGTGTTGTTGGTGCTTCACCAAGGGGCAATCACTCATCAAAGTCAACGGAACTGGGAGCATCGATACCACTTTTCCCACTCCTTATGACCAAAAAAATACAGTCACAAACAGACAGTCATAGACAAAAGCCCACTGCAAACCAAAGCGCGCGAACCAACATTGCGGACCATGTCATTGCCCCACCCTTCCAGGTGGCGACGGTGCCGGTCCAAAAGCTGTGCTGGCTTGACATTGAGATGCTCACTTTGCCTGGAGAGTTTAAAAAGATGCACACTTGGCCTGGGGATGTGCACTTGTCCTTAAAGCTGACATCAAAAAACAAAATGCATCTCAGATACAATTCTCGTTTTGCTCTTTGGTAGTTCAAATCCCCTTCAGCAACACTGGATGAAGATTCATCGCTTCCAACATAATCTGATATATCATCATCATATGAAGAGCCATAGCTCGAACTCGAACCATCATAGCTGGAACTAGAGCTGCTCGTCATTGAGCAACCATGGCTGCAAAGGTTTCAGAGTTTAGGTTTGGTTTGGGACAAGTTTCACTTGTCATGGGACACACTTATGAGTGATGTCCTCCAACATGAGTTCCGTTCCAACAATGCCACGGAAAACTTCGAGGATCTGATACCTTCGAAGCATTCTTCACTAGAATCATTCGTCAAGGGACCAGGTCTTTATAAAGGACCGCAACAGCACCTTGCGATGAGATGCGAGGTCACGTCCGATACGGCGGCAGGACCCGAGCGCCGGAACCCGCGCCGTCCGAACACCGGTCGAGTGAGTGATCGGACGCGGGGGAAGGGTCCCTCGGTCGAAGGTGAGATGTGCAGGTTCTGCGCAGGTGTTGAGATGAGCAAAGGTATCTTCGCAACTACGCCACGGCCCAACACGTCCCTAGAGTGTGAAACGGACCCTGAAATAGCTACGGAAGCGTCGTCTTCAAAGCCATCCACACGACATACTTAAATGGTTTGATCCTGGTCGAGCATTCCTTGGGGATGTTCAGTTTTGCCAAACAGAGTCTTCCATTTTGTTACGAGTACTGTAAGTTCTTTGACATCTTTTGCACAGTTCTGAACTCTGAGTCCAGGGAGCAAAGAGTCCATGTTCTGCCACAATGAGCCAACGCTATCCCCAAAGGGTCCCAAAGGTCTGCGCATGTGTTCCCATGTCTGCCTCTTTCTTCCCCGTCTCGCGGTCGGCACGAAACCCCTGCGAAACCCCGTGTCACGCGGGTCGGTCCCGGTCGAACTGAGGCCGCGCACCCGAGGCGCTGTTGCTCTTGGTCGCCCTGCAAGGCGCTGACCTCAGGACGGATGACGCGTCCCGCCGTGAGGCGAAGGTCCGGGTCTGTCCGGGTCCGTCCGGGTAGTTAGGGTCCGGCGACTGGGACGGGACCGACGCAGGTCCGGTGTTCACCATTCGGATTGGTCGCAAAAAAATAAGAGACATTGACCAGCACCGACTGAAACCAGGTCACCAATTGAAACCTGTTAGGGCCTAACAACCCTCCAAAGGAGACCTGCTGGAAGGTGCTGGCAAGTTGCTTTTAGATAAAGGCAAACGAGCGAGTGAGATGTTCTAACCCAGCACCGAGTCCAAAGCGCGGAAGTCCACCCCATGCCCGGCGGGCGGAAAAACATGAACTTGATCGAAGCATGTGTGGGAGTGAGCCCCTGATTTCTCCCATGAAATCAGCATTTCCTGCATTCGAAGGCCATGCAAGGCCCACTTGACTCTGCCGGATGGGTTTGTCTCTTCAACAGTCTAATAGTATGTTTATGTTTTCGTTTTACAATTTATGCACATAGATCTCCCAAAAATGGTTTAGACTTGTTCATCCCAAACGATGAAAAGTCAAAACGAATCAGACTTGCTCACCCGAAAACACACACACGCACACACATTGCTAGCACTTGTTGCAACAAGCGAAAGGAACGACAGCAAACCCCAAACCATCCCAAACCCAACTTCAAACACTTTGAAGTTGCACCCAAACATCAATTCTCTAGCAAAACGTCAGAGAAGCTGCCTCTGCCTCACCCAACATCACTTTTTGTGACCAAAGTGTCTGGGTCCTCCCCGCTGCATCATCCACGATGCTGGAGGCATAGGAGAGCAAGATGTGGCAAGTGACCAGCATGTCGACCTTAAATGAAGGTGACTCAGTCCATTCCATCAGTGATTTGACCTTATCGCAGGAACTCTTGGGCTCCAAGTCTGATGGCCAGTCCCTGGCGAACCGAGCCTCTCTTCGTGACCTCGGACCTTGCACCACCGAAGTTCTGGTCTTTACCCATGCAAAACAGAGGTGAAATGGGCTCTACAGACTAGTATGTAGTATATAAACCACCACCTGGATTCCCCGATTCTAACACAGATTTGCGGTCTTATTTGCCACATTCTCTCCGGAAAACTGGACCAACACATGGAGCCATGTCACATCCACGTTCATCTCAGAAAACGTCAAACATCGGAAACCTCCGTGATCACCCACGCTATTGTGGCTAGTTGCGGTTGTGTCCACCCTAACATGTTAGGCTCATCGTACCCCAGCTTCATCGATGTCAAGGTCATAGACTACATAGACGCCTAGCTTTCATGGGATTGAAGTCTTTGAAAAACCATCAAAGGCCTATCTCCAAGTCTCAAAGACCCTTTAGGACGTTAGGACGCTTTTCACATGTCTTCACTTTGCATGTGTTCGCCCTCCCCACGAAAAACCTATGAAATTTGGCTTGTGCGGCTTAAACCGAACGCGCAATGCTTCAAGCGAAGCATTGCAATCCGTCCATCCATCGGTCCATCCATCGGTCCATCCCCTCACAAACTCCCAAGGTCGATGGGGAGAGATCGCCCTCGTGGCAGGTGTGTCTTGGTGGCGAGATCGCCAGTTCAGATCGCCTAGTTCAGATCGACTAGTCTGCATGTAGTTCACATCGGTTCATGCGCATGGGCGATCCATTTTCTGCCAGCTGGGACTCCACCTGCACCCTCCGTCCCGATGTCACGCTCGCGGTTCCGTCGTCGAGCCGCATCCGGATTGCTACTGCGCGATTGAAGCACCGTACCTCCGGTCGCCGCCAGAAGAAGGCCAGGCCGGATCCACCCGGAGGCCCCCGGTGAGACCAGGAGGCTTCGGAGCCATCTGTGTGCGAAAGGGCTGCATCAAACGACAACAAAGACCTGAGTCAGGGCCAAATCCACCACTCTTCGGGGTAACACACGTACGCACAACCAAACTGTTAACACAGTATATATATATATTATATATACCCTAGAAGTCCAAAGACTATATGTTGACCGTCTGAAGTAAAGGAAGTTCCCGAAATCAGATCCCCTAAAAACCATTCTTTTTATAGTCTTTGACTCCCAGGGTATATATCATAATATATATATATATACACTACGAGTAAGTGGTTCTTGATCAATTCGATGGATTCTTTGACTCCGAACCGTGTGGGTGTTGTTTGGATGGTCGCCATGCACTATATATGTACGTCCGAACGTCTGCCGCCGGCGAATGATCATATTACCAATAAGATGTCCTGGGCAGAAGTGCCCTTGGAAGCAGGATTCCAGATCGGCCAACAAATCACTTGCTTGCTATTTATAGATACTAGAAGTGGGCAACTCAGTCTCTGCAATTGTTTGTCGATTGCCAAATCCGAACCTATACTGCCACTATTCTGAAAGGTGCTAACCTCATTATTCCTGGCCGTAGTAATCAATCCACAAAACTTTGCCGTGGCTACCACCACTCCAAGTACTGCGCGGCCACCCATGCTGGCGCAATACCCACTGGTAACGCTGGTGGCGCACCCATCAACTGGAGGAACTTGATGCCCTGGCCGTAGAATTGAGGAATACGACAAATTCCAACAAACTTTGACAAACTCAAAGCATGCAAAGAACACTGTTCCCTGAAGAAACTTGTAGAAACTGCAGAACCCAAAACTGCAGCAAGCCCTTAAACGAACTGGTGCGTGATATCTTTTTGGGCACAATTCACCTTGAGAGAGCCAGTTGGGTGTTGCAAAGGCTCAAGGGCCTCCTAAAAAGCACAAATAACTTCACATCCGTTGGACATTCTTATTCTTCCACCACAAGCAACACGAGAAAAAATCATGTGGTGGCTGCGGTTTCATCCCCATTTAGGAAGTCCAACCCCCCGACAGGCATCCAAGAATCAGTCTGACTGAGTGGTTTCAGCAGTTTCCCCACAGCACCGGTCGCAGGGTCTATTGGAGCCACTCCACACAACAGCGAAGACATTTCTCACCAAACATACCAGAAAATATGTTGGCAAGACACATGGTTGAACATGGTCGAACAAAAAAACAATCAGGGATGTTCACAAGAAGCATAAAACACATGTGGATCAATTGAATTGATGATGAGGAACACAAGAAGCAACTGCGATGACGGATGAACAGGGCATGTCACATGTGTTGAATGCGATGTGTGTGTATTGACATTGCATAAAATAGGGAGAATTCTAAAGACCCCCTGGAAAAAGGACAATAGACCAAAACCCATTGGTTGGGGTGGCACGGCTTGTGGACGTCCGTTTGAACGGTCTTTTTTTCATATGGCACACAATCATATGGCACATCATGAGGCTTTTCGTTCTCTTCACATCCCGCCCGGACGCTGTCGCGCGACTGGGCGCCCCGGACGGCACCACAGTTGAAGGGGCCACACATCCTGCGAAGCGCAGCAACCGGCGCCGGGGGAGCCCAGTACACACGACACAGCACCTACCTCCAGCGAGTGGTTCGTCAAAAAAACTACTGAACCACTCCCGGTGTTCATCCATGTTCATCCCTTACTCCCTTGAGAATCAGGAACCCTCAAGGCTGAAGGTATGCGAAGGTATGTGCTGCGGGTTCAAATATACCAAATCAAAACCCTCTCTGCACAGTAGCATGTTCCAATCACGTTCCAACAAGGATTGAGCCAAATAGGGCCGTTCGTCTTTTTGATAGGTTGTATTTGTGCCAAACCGCAGCGAGACTTGTCAGGCAAAATGTTGTGAGTTGACAGTGGGAGGTTACATCCAAGGAGGTCTGAATGGCATATATGAATGCATATCAAGAACCCCATCAAACCCATTTGCCTGTGTCTATTTGCCTGGAGTTTCAGGGGTCGCGGGGTCGCCATGGTTTGGGTCGCCAGTTGCTTCCTCTTCAAGCACAATTCGGGTTTGTGGAATAAATCATATATATATATACTTATATAGAATTATATTATACGGCACTATATACGGCTACTGAACCTTATACCCACTTTGTTTGGGGTTGACAGGCAAGGAACAATTAATACACACGCCCCTCACCTGACATGTGCTTGGTGAGGTTTATAGCTTTTACTAGGTCGTTGTTTTTGCAGTGTGAATTTCGAGAAAAGTAACCCAATCACTCAATTGCAGTGTGCCCTTTTCGTTCCCATAGAACCACCCCATTCCAAGCGATGGTGCCCGGTCATACCCGCCCAAGCGGACCACCGTTTGAACCCTGACAAAGCGGAGCGAAGCATCCGCGAAGCGTCCTGACCAGGGAAAGCAAGCGAACGACCTGAGCGCAACGTCCTGGTCGATCCCAGGGGCCCCAAATAGGACCAGTACTGAGAGATCAGGGTTGTTCATAGGAACCACGAGAGGTATCCAATGGCCGGGACCGGACTGTAACCTGGGCTACCCAACTGGGATAGTCGAACTAGGTTCTTCAACCTCTGTTGGATGGTTGAGTTTCAGGAGTTTCAGGGTGTTCAGGCTTCTACCCATGTCTCGCAACACAAACTACCTCATCTTGAACTTGGCTGCGCCCCACACATGCACACACGGCCGCATGGCTAAACGTTCCTTTGTCGGAGGGTTGAAAGCGAGACATATATATATATATACATATGGGTGTGGGTCAAAACCGGGCTACCTGGGTTGACCAGAGAAAATGAACAGAATGGACTACTAAGGAGGTCAACCTACCCTGGTTTGGGGATCTGAGTTTTGATCCACAGCCATATATTTGCCAGTTGGGACCCAGCAAGTCCGCTGTTCTTTGGGGAACCAGGGTCCAACCACACTGGCCCATGCGGGTTTGGAATGGTTTGCGAGGGTTCTACAAGTACCATAGAATACCTAACCAAACACTCCATGTATGGAAGATTTGACTAGATTTGGGTGGCTTTAGGAGTGAATGTAGGTCACATACACCAGCACCCTCCTGGCCAGGCTGTGTTGGGACCCTGACAGGTGGTGAACAACTCACTTACCACCTTCGGTGTTTCACCAAACTTGGAGGGTCCAGGTATAACACACGGAGCGTGGCTGGGATGGATTTTCAGGGGCTTGGACCCCAACCACGAGACTTGGACCCAGATGTGTCTTTAGGTTCCTGGCCAGATGTTTGTCCAGGAGAGCGGCCACCTTGTTTCGCGCGCGCGCGTGGCCGTCTCGTTGGTGGGCTCCCAATAGCACCTGACCCTGATGTTGGAGTTGCTGTTCAGGAACCTGGACCAGAACACTAACAACATATGTAGCTATAAAACGTATATATAAACACAACCACAAGCACTCTTTTCACGCGTTGCAGAGAGTGGGTCT